GCGCATGCTTAACCTAATGCCGAGGGTCCGTCGGGTTCGAATCCCCACCGTACTTCCTCCAAACAAAAAAAAATAAGTAAACCTGATTACCTTCCCCCAACCAAAAATAAAGTGAATATTAAAAGTAAAAGAAAATTCAGTGGGTGAAGAGGGAAGAGAACCTTCTCTGAGCTGCGTTGTGGTCCGATAAGATTGGAAAATCATGTGTGGATTGTCTTCAGAGAGCCTCAAATGCTTAGTTAGGAGTTTATACTTTATCCTTATTTGTAAACATGGGAAGCCTCTGACTATTTTGAGCATGGGGTGACAGATATTTGAGTCTATACTCAGTTATGCCAATTATTGGAAATACTGAGAAGATAGAACAGTCCTTTAGACAAGGATTACAGTTGGCCCTCCATATCTATGGATTTCTTATCTGCCGATTCAACCAAACTTGACTGAAAATATTTGGGAAAAAAATTCCAGAAAGTTTCAAAAAGCAAAACTTGAATTGCTGCACATAGTCAACTATTTACATACAATTTACATAATATTAGGTATTATAAGTACGCTAGATATAATTTAAAGTATATAAAGGGATGTTCATAGGTTATATACAAATACTATGCCGTTTTATGTAAGAGATTGAGCATCCTTGAATTTTGGTGTCAGGGGGTGGAGTTCTGGAACCATCATTGAGGGATGACTGTATATTTAGCATTATATTGGCATATATCTCCAACTCCTATACCCCCCACCAAAATAGTCCATGCTAATTACCAAGTGAGACATTTTTGGTATAGTAGTTTAGTACTTAAATTGAGGTAGAATGAACTTGGGTAAAAGATGGGATTTCAAGGCAGGTGAAATGACTTTTAGGTACACCTTTTTCCCTGCTTCCTTCCTCATTCCAAATATAGTATTAAAAGATTTAAATAGCTTTTATTTCTAAATACTGCCAACCACTTATTACTGGTTTGCATGGTTTGTCTCTGACATCTGAATTCTAAACATTTGCCTGATTATTCTTGATGGGAGCTAGGGCTACCTGCCTGACTTGAAGGATAAATTGTGGAAACAGATACCATTTTCTCCCTATAAAATCTAAACTTTAAAAAATTGTAGATTTTTTCCTGTGGAGAAAGAGATTGCCAGTTCTTCCCTAAAGACCCTTTTCTTACAACTCTTCACAATAAGAGTAAAACTTGTTTTGCTTTCTTGTTCTTGCCACATTCTTTGCCTGTGCCTTCATTTGAAGACTCTGCCTTTGAGTGGAGGTGGGGAGTGGTGTATCGATGAACTGTATTTAGTAAAGTAAAAATCAGTGTGCCAACTAAAAGGAAACTTTTCTTGAAGTTCCTACTGGGAATTACTGATTTGGCCTACATGAACATGGTGAGTGTTATTGCAGTTAAAATTGTTTGGATGCTATATAGAGATCACTATACACCATAAGGTAAAATACAGATCTTATTCAAATATTGCTGTTTTATTACTCAAATTGGTAATTTTTTACCTGCATTAGAGCGTTTTTATCTATGTATGTAAAACAGTAGACTGGAATTTGCTCAGTCCTCTATTGTTTCTTTTTTAAAAAATTTTTTTGGGAAATAATTAGGTTTATCTGTTGATAAATTACTTTTGGTGGAGGTACCGGGGATTGATCCCAGGACCTCATGCATGCTAGGCATGCACTCTACCACTGACTATACCCTCCCCCCTGAAATGTTTTGGAAAGCTTGATATTTTCTGACAAATTCTGAGTAGCGTTTAATTTGCCCAAGTAGGTTCTGTTGGTGCTGAGCCTAATAAAATGAGAAGTATCCTAGGTTCTGCCCTTAAATGCTTTTAGACTAAAAGTAAATAACACAAGACAAGAAGATATTTAATGAATTATATAAATGATATATTTAATATATTTAATGAATTATCTAAATATATTTAATGAATTATATTAATGAATGAACATTTTATTGATATTTAATGAATTATATAAATATATTTTTCTGGCAACAGATATGGAGATAGCTTATACATACACACATGTGAACTTTCAAAACAGATTTTAAAGATTAATCTTAGGCTGGAAGTGAGAACATTAATGGACAAAGATTAGGGTTACTAACCTTATTTGTATATTCCTTTTTTAAGTTATAAAATACCATAACAAAATTTAGCATTTTAACAACTCGAAAGTGTACAGTTTAGTGGCATTAAGTACATTAACTATATTCACAGTGTTGTGCAACCATCATAATTAGCGAATTCCCAAATATTTCCTTTAGTCTAGAAAGAAACCCTGTATTTCCCAATACTCCTCCCATCCCCTTGCAAACACTAATGTACTTTCTAGCTCAATGGATTTGCCTATTCTGGACATTTCATATAAATGGAACCATACAATATGAAGGTTTATCTATATTGAAGCTTGTATCAGTACCTAATTACTTTTCATGGCCCAATAATATTCTATTAGGATATCCTCCATTTGTTTATCCATTCACCAGTTGATAGGTGTTTAGGTTGTTTCTACCTTTTGGATATTGTTAATAGTACTACTATGAACATTTGTGTACATGTTTTTGGACATATGTGCTCATATCTCTTGGGTATATACCAAGGAGTGGAATTTCTGAACCGTGTAGTAATTCTGTGTTTAACTTACTAGGAAATGCCAAACTGTTTTCCACAGTTGTACATCTTAATGTTCCCACCAGCAATGAATGAGGGTTTTAATTTCTCCACATCTTTGCTGACACTTGTTATTTTCTGTTGTATTTATTTTTGAAAAACATGGCTGCTCTAGTGGGTGTAAAGTGATACTGCATTGTGGTTTATTTTATTTTATTTTATTTTTTATTTAAGGAAGCTTATTCGGAACCTGTTTAAAAAGACCAAGCAATACTCAATATAAAATA